TGTATTCTTTTTTCTCTACTCAACCATCTCTGAATTGTTCTAGAGGACTGGAAGGTTTTTTGTTTTGTTTTGTTTTGTTTTGTTTTGTTTTGTTTTGAGTTTTTTTACCTTATAGCGCATGCAAGAGACAGTGAGAGGGAAAGTGAGAAATCATCCCCCTCAGTGGGGATGGCCATGCCAAAATCCCTTCTCTTCCATTCTCCTCCCAGGATCTTGGGCATGCATGCACACACACCTGGCGTGATTTTCAAGCCACCGGGACCAGGACTAGAACCATGGTTAGCCATGTGAGAGTTCAGTGATATAACTGCTTATGTCATCTACTGGTTCCTATGTGGGCTATTTATTTATTTGTTTGTTTTTAATTAGGGTTCCTGGCAATGAAGAAAAAACCCTTCTTTTAAAGACAGTTCTTTCATAGCATAGTTAAGACATCCCTGAGACCTGGAGAGAAATAAGCAACAAGCATTAAACTTCAATTTGTATGGTTTTAGAATAAAGATAAGGGGATAGGCAACATATACCAAGGAGCTTTAAAAAGTTCATGGATGGGCCAGTCAGGGACATGGTGGTGAGGGCAGCTGGATCTCACATGGCTCTGTAGTTTTGGTTCCTGGATCTAGCAACCTGAAAAACACACCAGGCACGTGTGAACGTGTGCCCAAAATCTGGAAGAGAGAAATGGAGAAGGGACTGCAGCATGACCGCTCCCCTGAGGAGGTGTTTTCTCATGTTCTCTCTTTCCAGTGAGCACAAATGTCTTCTAGCAAAAAAGTATTAAAAAGTTTTCATGGAAAAATGGAATTCATGAGTTTGAGTACAAAGAAGTTTGAAACCCATGTAGTTATTTCATAATACACGTTTTCCACACACTTGTTTAAGACCCTCATATTTGATTATAGCAGTGTAAGAACTGATAAAATTCCCTCATATTCAAATTTTGAATTGACTTACTAAAGGGTTTTTTTTTTTTTTGGAGAGGGTTTTGCTATAGGGCGTGTGTGCTTGCCAGAAAGAAAGAGCGAGACAGAGAGACAGAAAGGAGAAACCATCCCCCAGGGGGGGTGGCCACGCCACAATCCCTCCTCCTCCCTTCTCTCAGGATCTTGGGCACGCACGCTCATGCGCCCGGTGTGAATTTAAGCCACCAGGTCTGGGACTCGAACCGTGGTCGGCTACATGGGAGTTCAATGACATTGCCATTACACTGTTGGTCCCCTAGAAGGCTCTCTTGACCTTACCTTCTCCTTCCTGCCATTAAACAGGACACCAGCCCCTTAGGTTTGCCTACTGTTGTGTTCTGGGATGGGCTCACATATATTGAGGAGGAACCTGAGGCTTGCAGAGGGGAATTGAGTCCTTCATGTATAAAGTGAGAGGTCAAGACTGCAGCCCAGATTGCCCAACTTTAGGCTAGTCCTTTTGCTTTTAAGAATTATTTAATTTATTATTACTATGTTTAAATTTGACCAGAGAGACAGAGAATGAGCAAGAGGAAAAGCGAGAAAGCCAGCTGCCAGGTCTGGGACTTGAACCATGGTCAGCCACATGGAAGTCCAGTGTCCAAACCACTGTGCCACCTGCTGGCCCCTAGGTCAGTCTTTTTTTTACAAATAATATTTATCTTTTAAAAAAAATGATTTAATTTGCAATAGAGCAAATATGCTCACCAGAAAGAGGGGGAGAGAGAGAAGGTAAGTGAGAAAGTAAGCTGCTAGGTCTGGGATTCAAACTACAGTTGGCTCTATGGGAGTCCAGCACCTTAACTATCATGCCACATGCTGGTCCCCCAAATACCTGTCAAGAGAGAACTCAACCATGTTTAGTGGTAGCTGATGCTGTTTTCCTATTTTATCTGTATGGCAACAGCTAGGCGTGTCAGATGTGCAGGGCTGACCTATGTGCCATGAGAACTCTAGAACTCTGCTTGCTTTGGGTGCTAAGGAACGAGTTGGTGAACGATACTATGGACATTAGTATGGCATGAGCATGGCAGCGAGATTTGCTTGGCCAGAAAAAAATGAGGTAAAAAGTACTATCTTGGAAAAACAAACAAACAAACAAACAAACAAAAAACAAGAATAAACACCAAAGGTAAGAGGGAAGCAACTACAGAACTAATGAAATATATTCTTGACAAGGAAAAGAAAGGGGGCCTGGCCCTGTGGCCTAGTGGTCCAAGGAACTGGATCCAACATGGCTGACAGGTTTGACTCCTGGTCCCAGAGGCTTGAATAACACACCAAGGGTGCACGCATGCCCCAAATCCCGACTGGATGGAGATGGACTGTGGTGTGACCACACCCCATTGGGGGTGCTTTCTTCCTCCGCCATCTTTCTCTGGTAAGCGCATATACTTCCTGGCAATTAGGGCACAAGGATATGAGATGCAGACAAAGGAAGAGCAGTGGGAATGCTGCATTCAGACAACTAAATGCATTTTCTGGACACCCGTGTGCCAGGCAGTGCTGAGTGTTCAGAAGGGTCACCTGTGAGATTTGGAACCTGCTGTCTCTACCATCCAAGTATCTTTCAAAGCCATTGTTTTTCTCAATCTCCAAGGTCCAGTACTTTTACCTTAGTTCAGGACTACAAAGCCTCTGCCCATGTTTCTGTTTTCTTACTTCTTTCCAGTCTGTTTTCCACACAAAAGACATTGTCATCTTTTTAAATTTAAAATATTTATCCAGCTTTATTATTATTGAATTTTAGGACACTTGTTCTCAAGTGAGAGACAGTGAGAAAGTAAGCTGCCAGGTTCGGACTCGAACTGCAGTCAGCCATGTGGGAGTCCAGAACTTTAACCACATGCCGCCTGCTGGGCAAAACACTGTCATCTTTTAAAATCACACATACCACCTCCCTCTTGTGCTTGGGATCTTCCAAGTAGCATCTACTACCCTTTTCACCCTATGCCTGCCAGTGGCTTTCAGCTTCTGCAAAAAGCCCAGGTTTTCTGCCTAAGGGTCGCTCATGTATTTGCTTCTTCTACTAGCACACCTCCCTATTTATTCCCCACCTCCTTTGGCTTCCACTGTCTTACTTTGGACTAACAAGCATATGCAAGGAGTTCAGTTATCAGGAAGGCTACCAGCCTCACTTGGGAAGCAGAGGGACCAGGGGGAGGTCCAGGGCACCAAGGAGGGCAGCTCAACTCTAACAAAAGGGCAGAGAAAGGTGAAGAGACGAGGCAAAGGGCTATACAACCTTGGATCGAGTACCTCTGCAAGCAACAGTCCAGTCCCTGCTTGGGTCCAAAGGCTGCTTGGAGCACATTCGCCTGTCATGGACTTCCCATTTCTGTGAAGGCAGTGTGCTGGTGGTGGGGGGAGCCCTTGGTATCCTCTAACAGGCAAGAAGCAAAGTCCACCAGATCCAGAGCAACCCAGACCTGGTCCCAAACTCAGTAAGTCAAACCAAGTCTGTATGCATATATACCAGAGCCGGTTTGTCCCTTTACATGCCTCTTGATTTGAACCCCCAGCCCATCCCACACCCAGAGTACAACTGTTTTGATAGTAACATCAGAACCAAGTTTACTTTCTTCATTGTTAGAGGTAAAGACAGACAGTTCATTTTCATTTATCGTTCTAGAGAATGATGGTTAAGTTTCAAGTGTATTAAACTTCAAAGAATCTTCCCTTGTGCTTAAAAATGATAATGCCCTCAAATTGCTTGAGACACTTTTATAAGAGTGTAGGCAAGAAACGTTATTAACGGTGTCATAAATAAGTATTATAACTTTATTAAAATGAAAAGACAATATTCAAAATAATGCAACAAAAATGAATAAAATCCTTTGTCCAATACTGTACACATAATGCAGAAATCAGTGCATTTTTCTAAAGCATGTTTTAACCTTCATTTAGTTCATACTAAAATATAATAAGCTTTAAATAGCTCAAATAATATCATTCAGCAGTTTAAACTGTAAACAGCTTGTTTAACTGTTAAGAGAACATCGTAGTAATGTATCTCCGTTAGTGAGCACCTTCTCTTTTGTGCTTATCTGTACGAGATAAATATCTAGAAGGATGTGAAAGTAGGAACACAAGCTCCGTGTCTCACTGAGTCTAAGTGAAGCAGTGAAGCAGCCAGCCGTGAGAGTTCTCAAAGCAGAGAGATGCTGACGTGACCTCTGGGATTAAGACATACTGTGCTATTGGTCAGAAGTGTTTTACTATAAAGCAAACAATCCCCAGGAAATACTGAATAGGAACCAGCAACACAAGGCCAGCTTGTGTTGTATTTGTTTATTAATAGTCTAAAAAAAACAAAACAAAAACAAAAAAACACAACACACATCCCCACACAATAACTCTCAGTCACATAGCTAATTGCTTCGTGGTTTGGTAAAACTGACATCCCGAACGCTGGCGACGGGTGTGCTTTTCTGTTTGATCTTACATGTCCCACTGTCTGGGTAAGGCCCAGTCTACAAGGGCCACCGCAGGGGGTGGGATCAAGCAGTTGTAAGGAAAAACTATTCCCTAATTCTGTTATCTTTTTCATTTTCTTAACATGGGAGACATGCACAGGTAATAAGAGGACTGCCAAATAAACTGCTATAGCCCTCCTCTCCACATGACAAAAAAAATGAGAACCTGGAAGTCTTAGGCCTTGGGATGATTTTTAAACTAGGTAGGTACAGTTATGATAAAGAATGTACACCCTGCCCTCAATGGAAAAGATTGCAAAAATAAATGAAACGAAAAAGAACAGGCCCGATGGCCAGAAATCTCCAAACTTACTAAACAAAAATAATTTTTTTTTTTTTTTAGGATTCTGATCTAAATACTGTATCTTCTCCCATTTGCTCAATTTTCAGTCTATCAGAAGTCAATCCTCCAGCTTCTTATTATTCTCTAATTGCTTCGTGGTTTGGTAAAACTGACATCCCGAACGCTGGCGACGGGTGTGCTTTTCTGTTTGATCTTACATGTCCCACTGTCTGGGTAAGGCCCAGTCTACAAGGGCCACCGCAGGGGGTGGGATCAAGCAGTTGTAAGGAAAAACTATTCCCTAATTCTGTTATCTTTTTCATTTTCTTAACATGGGAGACATGCACAGGTAATAAGAGGACTGCCAAATAAACTGCTATAGCCCTCCTCTCCACATGACAAAAAAAATGAGAACCTGGAAGTCTTAGGCCTTGGGATGATTTTTAAACTAGGTAGGTACAGTTATGATAAAGAATGTACACCCTGCCCTCAATGGAAAAGATTGCAAAAATAAATGAAACGAAAAAGAACAGGCCCGATGGCCAGAAATCTCCAAACTTACTAAACAAAAATAATTTTTTTTTTTTTTTTTAGGATTCTGATCTAAATACTGTATCTTCTCCCATTTGCTCAATTTTCAGTCTATCAGAAGTCAATCCTCCAGCTTCAGTTTTTATTATTCTGAATATATATTACTCTAAGATAGTCACTAATCGGTTACCTGCAACTATGGTCTATGGTTATACCACAAATGTAAATATAGGTGTATAATGTATGCATATATAAAAGTTTCCCCGCCTTCCCTCCCGCCATCACATCTTTATAGACTTGAACAGGCTTTTCTCCAACACTAACAAAATTCTCAGCCTAACAGCACCTCACAACTGCTCTAAACCTTTCTCATTAAGACAGAGTGTTCAACAATTTCACTTTGTGCTCTGTAAGGTTGTTCCGTGACCCTCAGCCAATCTGAAAAACCGAGAACTATCTGTTCCCATGGAGCTCTGCTGAGCCGTGACCCCACAGTCTAAGGAGAAACCACATAGGACAAGTGTTTACGCTTTGCGTGGCCAGCCAGGTCCGTTCTCGTTTTTGAGTCCAGCTTTTCGGCGGCTGAAACTATACTGCAGTCAGCAGGTAATGGCTGGATTTGGGCGTTTGTTTCTTCTGCTTCCCTAAAAAACTTTTCATATTTGTCCAGGTACGGTGGTCTCTCAGGTAGTAGGTAATAATGTGTTGAACTAACCTTCTTCCCATTTTCAATAATGGGCAGAATGCAAGGAACCTTATTGGCAGATCCCTCACTGTTCTGTCTTTGCAGGGCTTTGCTGCTGACATACTTGGGGTCAGGGGCAAAACTCTGTGTTGGGGGCATGACCCCATTGAGGTAAGACGGGAGGCTCTTAGGACTTGGCGTACGGGAGTTACTCCGCGACAAAGGTTCTCTCGGTGGTACCTTGGGAGGCCTGTCTTCATCACTATAGGTGCTAGAAGTAACTTCTGCTGACCACCTTCGGTAATCTGGCTTCACAGGCCTAGGAGGTATAGGAACCCTGGGGGGAACCTCGGGTTTGTCTTCATCGGAGTTAGGAGAAGCTCTGTGTGTGTAGCTGGATATCCTTATGGCTGGCTTGTTAAAGGATCCAGCTGGTCCCGAATGAGACCTTCTCAATCGTCGGTGGGTTTGCGGTGGAGGAGGGTTTGGATTTGGAACGCCTCCGTTTTGGTCGGATGCATAGCTGAGATCTGCTGCAGAGACAGCTGGGGTGTCAAAATATGCATAGTTGATCTGTCCACACCCACGGAAGCTTCGCCTGCCAGGAACATCGTATTTGAAATCAGAAAGCGTACAGTCTTCTAAAAGGAAGTCTGTATCTGAGCTAGTTAGGAATTCTACCTCACAGTCCGTCTCGTCCAGAGAGAGGTCTTCAGAGATGGGCAATGGTGGGAGGGGCCTAGAACCGCGTTCACAAAGAGCTGCACAGGGGAAAGGGGAAGGGGAGTTTTTAATGGGTGTGAGTGGAGGAGTAGAAGCACAAACTCCATTGACTGAGAGTTTTTTAAAACCACACACAACTTGGTCCTCTTCATGCTGTCCCAAGTTTTCACTTGAGGGGATAATAAGAGGAGGCAAGCTGGACTTTTGAGATGGACGATTTTCTGCAAAGTAGTGGCCATTCACTGGAGCAGATCTTGAAGTGTGCCCTGGGACAAACAGGAGATGTTAAAAAAAAGATCAATCCCCTTCCCACCTGTGAGGCAGAGAATGTCCCATCGACCTATGCTTCTACAGCTTTCCACCTAAGTGACTAGTGACAGACTTGACCGCGGTAACCCTAAGAACACCCATGCAACCACCACAGGTGTAATTAGAGACCAAAAGATTGTTAACGCACACGATCTGGTTCAAAGAACAAAGTATCTCTTCTATCTCCCTTAGACATGTGCATGGCGCACACCCACACATCTCAGGCAAGTTTTGTGACGTGTGCAAAATTTGCAGAAGTTGAGCAGCATATAATTTACATGAATACCTTATTCCACCAGCCTGGCCATTAAGGCCTGAGACAATACAAGACACACAGGGCGCGAATGAGATAAGACAAGGTCGTCACTGCTCACACATCATAATATTGCGAGTGAATGAACTCGCCCGTAATGTGTTCAACTGATAAGCAGCCCTTGACAAAAATCTAAGGACATGATGTTCATGTTAAAAGTAGTACGTACACACAATCTTCTAAGTTTTGATTAACACGCTACTTTCATCTAACACTTTCCAGCATGCATTCAACACTACTAAGAGAGATATTGTCCAAGATTTCTAAAAGTTAAGTATGCATCATAGCTGGGATGAGAACTCATTCTTGATTTAAAAATGTCACATGGCCCAGCTGGTGAGGCAAGTGGTAGGGCGTTGCTGGGCCAGGCGAGGGCTGCACGAGAGGCCCAGGTTAGTTCCTGGACCAACCTAAAGCATGCTGGGTACAAGAGTACACCCTTGTGATCTTAGCTCACTGGGAGGCTGGGGCAGAAGGACCTTGTCATGGTGAGACCCTATCAAAATACTCATTTCCCTCTCTTTCTCTTCACTTCAAAACAAAACAAAACAAAATCACACTTCCAAACAGTTCTGATTAGCAATCAGTGACTTGATAAAGGTAGTAGAGTACAGTGGTTAGTGGGGTGGGGGGGGATGGTAATCTTCAGAATCTGCTACCACTAGGGGTCAGACTATTGTTAATAATAGTTCAGGTTTCCTCATTTAAAAAATAATGCTGGAGGATAGGCGAATTCTAATCCCCGCACCAACTTCCTCTTCAAATGCTAACTTCGGCCTGGTTTTTCAGAATACATACCAATGGACGGTAGGTGCTCCTGGGCAGCAGAGTTCAGACTGTAGGCCATGCTTATTGGGTCAATATTTAAAAAGTTACTGAAAGGAAAAGAAAGTATCTTGGTCATAAAAAAGCCACACTCATTCTTGATCTCATTTTAGTACCGCACATCCAGACAGACCACTGCGGCATCGCGTGCTCCACTTACTTCCCAAACTCACTGCGGCTGCCCCAGCAGGTCTTCATACTCCCCATGGCTTGGCCATTATGTAGAAATCCAGTTTTTAATGGGACTCTAATCTCCTGAGCAGCAACTCCCGCTGTTGACATTGTGCCTTATTCTGGGATGTCTCCAAACTTGTGAAGCCTGGGGATTTTTAAGTCAACTAGTAGCTTTCATTCCCTAAGGGGGACAGAAAAGAGTAAAGAATAAACAATTCAGCAATACCTCCATGAGGGTGGCTTAAATTGCCGCATAAACAGCTAACGTGAGATGACACGACGACGGAAGGGGGAGGGAGGCAGGGGGAGATAACTCAGGACTTTCACTTCATTCTTAGCTAATTCTCATGAAGGTACTTAACTACAGACCCTAAAAATATTTTCTTTCCCTGTTTCTGGTAAATACTAAATACTGTACAAGGCATGAAGTGTTTCAGCAAGAACGAGAAAGGATCTACTGCCAGCAAAGGCAGCCCTTACTGCAGAGCCTGTTCATTGCACAACAGATCACGCTCGCCTGCCAACACACACAGACCTTCCTCGCCTCCTGAGCTGGCCTTCTAAGGTATGGCTGCACCGGCAGGAAGGGCGAGGGAATCGTGCGTGCTTTTCCCAAGCTAAAAATTCAGAAACTGCTACTCTTTATACCATAGAACTAAGGTTCCCTAAAACCCAATGCTTAAATGAAACAAAAGAGGGACCAGCAGTTAGCGTAATGGCTATGTCACTGGACTCCCATGTAGTCGACTGCAGTTCGCATCCCAGACCCGGTGGCTTAAAACTCACACCGGGCGCATGTGCATGCGTGCCTAAGATCCTGAGAGGAGAATGGAGGAGAAGGGAACGCATCGTGGCCATCCCCCTGGGGGGGTGATTTCTCGCTTTCTTTCTCTCTGTCTCTCTCAGTCTGTCTGGCAAGTGCACGCGCCCTATAGCAAAAACCTCTCATTAAAAAAAAAGAAAAGAAAAGAAAAGAAAAACAAACAGTCTACAGTGTTGGGCCCTGACTGTCAAGAGATGGGCATCTATTTGGATCTCATATTTCAGGGTTAGCCATGGGAAGGGGCAAATTCTCCAGTTAGTACTCGATCAAGAAAGAATAGTTACATATGAAAACACTAATTTCCATTATCCTGTAAAAATCAAGTTCTGCAAGATTACTGGCTTCAGTGGAAGGCTGGGACAGCTTCCTGCCTCTCTCTTACAGACAAACTTAAAGGTACATTCTTTACATTCTCCTTTGTGAAATGCTTGGCAATAGGAGTCCTGCCTAGCTGCAAGGCATAGACTAAAAACACAGAGGCTAAGTACGTCTTTCTAAAACTCCTAGTTCCTCAACTTCGGGAACCCTCTGCCTTGTCAGAAGTTACACGTCTGGAGCCCCGATGGCCTCTTTGAAAATTTTTTTACTATTCAATATATGTGTTGAATAGCACAGATCCCTGCTGTCTTGTGATATTCAGCTTTACTTAAACAAGGTGAAGAGTTTTTTTCCTTCTTATTCACTAGGACAATATGTGCCAACTGTCCGTATAACACAGACCCTATTTTAAGAGATCTACCTATGCGTTCTGTAACACATTCTCAGTCTCTTAAGTATTTGCACACCGTCAAGTGCTGGGTGTACACCAGGACACGTTTGCTGGAGAGGAGGGGTACACAGATTACTTTATTTAATTGCTCAGGAACTTCAAATGTATTATTTGCAAATCTGTCACCTCCTACTATACTGTAGGCTCAGGAACCGAGGCTGTGTCCCAATTACCTTTTCATCATCAGTACCTGGAACATTAGTAGGCGCTCAATAAGTGAATGTTTGTTGAATGAATGATTGTATAATGCCATCTAATTATTACCATCAGTATCAACTGTGTATACACAGTGTCTAAGGCTGAGTTTTTCTGTTTTAGAGACAGAGTTTCCCTAAGTTGCCCTAGCTGACCTCAAACTTGCTGTCCTCCTGCCTGGAGTCCTGTTGTAGCTGGAATGCAGGTGTGCTACTGCCAGACGGTTGAAGAGGTTTCTTAAACCGAAAGAACTTAAAACAAAAACAAGAAAATCAAAGCCAACTGCAAAAACACTCTGAAAATGTTTTGTTTGTTTGTTTTTTTAAGGTTTATTTTTCTTCCATGCCTAGTGTGTTCAGAAAGGTTTCTGAATGCAAACTCAGAACTCTCCCGTGTGGGTCAGTCTTGTAGACTGTGGCATTTTATTGTTGCACCACCATCTGGCCCCCAACCCCCCCCCCCCCCTCAAAACAATCTGTGCACCCCCCTTCGGCCCCCACCCCCCCCCACCATTAAAAAGGCACAGAGACAGTAATGTTGTATCGGTTAAAAGATTTCAGTGACAAAGTAAGGAGCATGGGTCCCCCAGTTACTGATCCTCTGCAACTGACTTTATTTTTAGACAGAATTTTACAATAGGTTTAAAATATGATCTCAAATAACCAAGATTATTTTTCTTTAAATCAGTCTCTTGGGACCAGCAGTTAGTGTAATGGCTATGTCGCTGGACTCCCATGTAGTCGACCGCGGTTTGAGTCCCAGACCCGGTGGCTTAAACTCACACCAGGCACGTGTGCGTGCGTGCCCAAGATCCCGATAGGAGAATGGAGAAGGGATTGTGGCGTGGCCATCCCCCCTGGGGGGTGATTTCTCGCTTTCTGTCTCTCTGTCCCTGTCTTTCCAGCAAGCGCATGCGCTCTATAGCAAAAACCTCTCAAAAAAAAAAAAATCAGTCTCTCAAAGATTTATAAAAGGGGGTAGGAAATCCTGTCATTTAAGAAACATAAATTATTGAGAGAATTTTTTTGTAAGTTGGTTTTAGGATACTGAAATGAAGCACATGTGTTATTTACCATAAAGTTATTAAAAAAAACTGAAAAACCAATTTAACAAAATTGCTAGCCTCTCTTTCTGTGCACTTAGCCCAGTGGTTTATCACACTTTTTTTAAGCATTCTACAAGCACTGGCAAGACTATGGGGAAAGTATCTGTGATAATATAAAAATGAAAGGCAAGATAGGAAGAAGAATATGGTATTTAAGTAGTTTGAAAGCACACGTTTAAAGATCGCTCATCCAGATTACAGGAGAATGCTGCGGGGGAGCTGGAGGCCCCGCCCCCACCTGGCTGCAGCCAGCCAGCACCACTGTAATTACTGCGTGTCAGCCTCCTCCTGCCATCTAAATCTTAGCTTTCAACAGGATGATTGTGTAACCATCGCCTCTGCTGAAATTGCCTTGGAATTCTAAACTTACATTTCAATGGTCACTTAAAATTATTTATACGTTCTAGAAAAAGTTATTTTTTTATTCATTGTTTCCGTCACCTACTTGTTAGCTTTCTTAAGAAAAAAATTTTTTTTAGTATAAAAAGAATTGTGTTCACTAAGCCAGCTCACTTCTGGCCACAATAGTGTCTTTGTGTATTCATAGAAGGTGACCTGCCTCTAAATTTCAATGGGGAATTGTGAATGGGCCATGTTATGAAACTGTCCGAACTTCCTACTTACTTGCATGGGAGAAGTGAGCAGGGCAAATATAATTGCCATGTTCTCTTCTTTTGGAAAATAACTTCAAACTGTAGACTCAAAAAAGGGCAACATGCCATAAGTCTGGAAGCAAACTTCAAAAAAAGTGCTGCTCAGCCCGTAAACTGAGGGTATAGAACCACCTGGAACTTGGTGCGCCTCTCTAAAAACCTCCTAGAATTCAGTGAATACACACTCTGTCCTGGCGGTGGGGGGTGGGATGGATGATCAATCAATCTGGTTAACTTCAAGCTAAAAGCAAACTCTTCCCAAATAAAATTTAACTAATGGCGCAGTGTTTCACATTTTATCTGTTTCCTTACATCTGTAAAACTAGCTCTGCTTTACGATTCCCTTGGAAAACGATGGCAAAAATATACCCATGTGGGAAAATCAATTATCTGAAAGTTCAAGATAAAAAATTCTGTTGGGAAATGCCAAAACAGGAAAGTAAATGTTTACCCAGGCAGCATAGTTTAGACCAGAATATCCTAATAAACCTGGTCCTACAAATGTTCTTAAGTTGATAATTTTTAGTTTTCTTTCTCTCTTTAAAGTTTGCTATAAGGGCATGTGTACGGGACAGAGGGGGTGGGGGAGGGATGGTGAGAAATCAACGTTGAGGGGATGGCCATGCCACAATCCCTTCTCCATTCTCCTCTGAGGATTTTGTGAACCCAGGCACACATGCCAGGAGTGATTTTCAAGCTGCTGGGTCCAGGGCGCAAACCCCTGCACTAGACCATGTGGGAATCTGGACACTTTAACCACCATGCCACTGGTTGGTCCAATTTTTAGCTGTTTTAGCACATCAAAAATGCAGTTACATATCAATCCAAGATGTGAACTACCTTTTCCTGTTAACACCACTTGATTTTTAATTTTTTCAACTCAAGGAACAAATAAAACCCCTAAAATCATTTGCTTTTAGAGGTGATCCTTTTATTTTCTCTCCATACAACAGTGCCACTCCCCACTCTCCCACCCCACAGCCACAGGTTTTAAACCACTTCTACAGCTTCAACTTCCCAGAGACGGCTCATGATTCCAAGACTCCCGCCTGGCTCCAGCTCCAGCTCTGCATTTTCTATTGTCTGACGATTGTCCTTCCACTTGGATGGTCCTCTGGCATCTCAAACTCTACACACCAACCTCCTCTCACTTACTTAGCATCCCATCCCCCTCTCACCCCAAGCCAGTTCCCAGCCAAGACAATCCCACTTCTACAGGCACCATCTGTAACGTGAGTTACAGTGGATGACACTGAATTGCCAAGGTCCACTGACTATTTCTTGGTTGTTTCTCAAATCTACCCTCAACTGGCTGGCACCATTGACCCATCCTACATATCGGTACAAGATCAATATTCTAAGATGTTCCACTGCTCCAAATCTTCAGTTTTTCTCTCCAGCATCTAAGGCCCCCCTCAACAAGGCCCCACTTGATTTTTCAAGCTCTTGATTCTTTCTCCCAAATCGCTTGGTAGAGTGCAGTGTATCCTTCAGGCCAACTCTTACTGCTGTCTCCAGGAGCCCCCTTCCTCCTATGGGAAACCAGAGCAGTGTCTTTCTGTTCTTTTGACCTGTGCCCAGATCTTCCAATTCTTCTAGAACTGGACTCATGTCTGACTTATGTTTTCTCCCTGTAGATCCTGGTATCATTCGTCTACTATTTATTAAGTAGATATTGAAAAAAATATCTGTATCTCATAAAAAGAATTAATTACATGCAAGAGTCCAACAGACTGCAAATCAGTGATGAGCTACGAGAAAAAGGGGATTTGCAAGGGATAAACTTAGCATGTGCCAGAGCGATGAGACTGCCCAATAATAATGTAACAACTAAGTTTAGGATATGTTAACAGGAAGGAGTTTTTATTAAATTCATTTTAGAAATCCAAAGTGAACAGTCTGCAGACTGAGGAAAAATGGTAAGCCTCAGCAGCCAATGATAGAAATTTCTAAATGGATTGTTACTGTATATTTCAATGGAAGCAAGGGGTGGGGGGGGGCTGCTTTCTGAAAACAATGAATTCTACCTTCTCTTACACACTTCTACTTTTACATTACAATGTCTCTACTGTGTTTTTTGATGCTAAATTTAAGGTTACTTTTCTTTTTTTATTAAAGTGAAATAACATGCTTTAGCTTGAGGACAGTCTCTTTGAAACTCTTTTAAA